ACACTTCAACTATGAGAGACAAAATGAGAAAAATGTCTGATTTTTAAAGAATTTATTTGCAAATTATGGTGGAAAATAAGTATTTGGTCACCTACAAACAAACAAGATTTCTGGCTCTCACAGACCTGTAACTTCTTCTTTAAGAGCCTCCTCTGTCCTCCACTTGTTAACTGTATTAATGGCACCTGTTTGAACTCGTTATCAGTATAAAAGACACCTGTCCACAACCTCAAACAGTCACACTCCAAACTCCACTATGGCCAAGACCAAAGAGCTGTCAAAGGACACCAGAAACAAAATTGTACACCTGCACCAGGCTGGAAAGACTGAATCTGCAATAGGTAAGCAGCTTGGTGTGAAGAAATCAACTGTGGGAGCAATTATTAGAAAATGGAAGATATACAAGAACACTGATAATCTCCCTCGATCTGGGGCTCCACGCAAGATCTCACCCCGTGGGGTCAAAATGATCACAAGAACGGTGAGCAAAATCCCAGAACCACACGGGGGGACCTAGTCAATGACCTGCAGAGAGCTGGGACCAAAGTAACAAAGGCTACCATCAGTAACACACTACGCCGCCAGGGACTCAAATCCTGCAGTGCCAGAAGTGTCCCCCTGCTTAAGCCAGTACATGTCCAGGCCCGTCTGAAGTTTGCTCGAGAGCATTTAGATGATCCAGAAGAGGATTGGGAGAATGTCATATGGTCAGATGAAACCAAAATAGAACTTTTTGTTAAAAACTCAACTAGACGTGTTTGGAGGAGAAAGAATGCTGAGTTGCATCCAAAGAACACCATACCTACTGTGAAACATGGGGGTGGAAACATCATGCTTTGGGGCTGTTTTTCTGCAAAGGGACCAGGACGACTGATCCGTGTAAAGGAAAGAATGAATGGGGCCATGTATCGTGAGATTTTGAGTGACAACCTCCTTCCATCAGCAAGGGCATTGAAGATGAAACGTGGCTGGGTCTTTCAGCATGACAATGATCCCAAACACACCGCCCGGGCAACGAAGGAGTGGCTTCGTAAGAAGCATTTCAAGGTCCTGGAGTGGCCTAGCCAGTCTCCAGATCTCAACCCCATAGAAAATCTTTGTAGGGAGTTGAAAGTCCGTGTTGCCCAGCGACAGCCCCAAAACATCACTGCTCTAGAGGAGATCTGCATGGAGGAATGGGCCAAAATACCAGCAACAGTGTGTGAAAACCTTGTGAAGACTTACAGAAAACGTTTGACCTCTGTCATTAACAAAGGGTATATAACAAAGTATTGAGATGAACTTTTGTTATTGACCAAATACTTATTTTCCACCATAATTTGCAAATAAAGTCTTTAAAAATCAGACAATGTGATTGTCTGGATTTTTTATTTTTTTTCATTTTGTCTCTCATAGTTGAGGTATACCTAGGATGAAAATTACAGGCCTCTCTCATTTTTTTAAGTGGGAGAACTTGCACAATTGGTGGCTGACTAAATACTTTTTTGCCCCACTGTATGTAGCAGAATGTTGTTTTATCTTAATTATAATCACTGTGGACCCTACTGCCTCCCAAATAAAAGAAAACAATATATAATATATATTTCAATATAAGTAAAAAAGCATCATATATAAGCCACGGTTATAAAAGCCAATCAGTCCGAGAAATTACAGAATTGACTATCCTCAATGGTAGCTGCAGTCCGGACGTCAGTGGACATGAGGGTCTAGTCAACTTCATGGTAACGAACACGGTTAAAAATAAAACACTCAGATCTGTACTTCAAGTTCAACACTTTATTTTGTGTTTTCTTCTTCAAATAGTAAAGTGAATAATCTCACTTTATAGTCTTTATATAAATAACATTTCAACAAATCACAATAAATGTTGCTATTTACAAAGTTACATCAAAAAAAATAAATAAGGGTAAATTCAAAGTACATCTAATTAAGAGAAACAAAACTATGAAAAGCAATCAGGGTGCACCATGTCAAGTTCTGTAAAAGTGTTTAAAAACACATGCAAGGTTTCGACTGTTACACAATGGAAATAATGCAATTCAATGGGGCAACTATCTACAAAATGTGCACTCCCAATTCATAGGGAAATATAAGGTGCCTGAATTGCACTGTGCAAAAGAGGTGTCTACTGTATATAGTCACCCATCCACTGACAATAAGCTGCCAGAACAAAATGTCCTGCGTCACATATTAAGGCTGAGCCACTATTAACAAAAAAAGAATCCTTTACACAGCAATGAATTCAAGTCACCAGGTTTGACAAACAAAAAAAGATTGGTTAGGGTCACCCAAAAGCACCCCAGAACCCTGACTAACTATGAATGTGAGAGTAAAGCAATTCAATCATATCAGGCGCACACGAAGCTCGGGCCACATCTATTGCTGTCTGACCACTGATGTTGGCGTGCTTCAGGTCGGAACGCGGTGCCAAGAACTCCACAACATCTCGGTGGCCTTCCTTGATGGCAATGTGGATGGGCAGGGCGCCCTTCATGTCAGGGACGTTTACCGAAGCACCGTACTCCACCAGAACCTGCAGAGTGTCCAGGAATCCTGTCCGGGCTGCATCATGGACGGGTGCTATCCCATGCTTGTCCTGGACGTTGGGATTTGCTCCTTTTTCCAAAAGCAAACTCGCAACCTTTGAGTTCCCCATCATCATCACCTGTAACAGATATTAAAGAGGGAATGAGAGAAATTCAGCAGCTGTGCTTAAAGCGCTATTTGTAACATTAGATCCTCTCAAATACATTTTCCTGTTAAGGACGTCCACAGAAATAACTACACCAGTATACATTTATCATTTAAGCCATGAAAGAAAATATTAGAAGATCTGTTCAATTTAAACCAAGGAGAATACATTCATAAAAACAGTAACTGTGTAAAGGGTTAATGACATTACAAAAAAATACAGATATATTTTTCAGTCAGTTCTCATTTTTATTAACTTCATCTATTATTATGTATTGACTTAATTAGCTATTGCAAATGTTTTGGTATTATTGGTTGCATCTAGAGATCTGGATTATCGTGTGAATATTCTTCTCTATTTTGACATTTTGGGAACTTAACTTTTCAAAAGATGATCTACAAAAAAAAATTATAAAGAGAACAATGCAGCAATACTTTCGCTTTGCTCTTGATTGTATACATAGTATTTATTTAGTATTAGAAGCAACAATGTGTAACAACACAGTTAGACAGCACCATAAAGAGCCTCTACAAAAGACCAACGTTTAACAAAACGAATTGATTATAACACTTATTAAGGCCGATTGGTTGTATTGGACTATAATTAGTTCAAAGTGAAGTTAATAAAGTGGCAACTGAGTGTTTATCCTCTTTTTTGGTCAAAACGTAAAATGTTCCAGAAATAGCTAGAGGGTATCTTGTTTGCATGCGATGTCAGTGTTGCCCACATATAATGAATTAATGAATAATAATACATGACATTTATTTTAGCGCTTTACAACACATATGACATATATTAGACATGTAATACATTGAATACTGTGGACAATACCCACAGGAGCAATTTCGGGTGAAATGTGTTGCCTAAGCAAGGCTGAAGATCAGCGCAATAACCCAGTGCGTCACAGCCGCTTAAATATATTACCCAAATATCAAATCCCTCAGTACTCGGATTGGGGCATTATTTTTGAAGTGATATATATCGTATAACATAAAACAGGGTTTTAACTTAAATACACGGCACTTTAACTTATTCATAACAGGAAACTGTCCAAGATAACCATATTAGGCTACTGTTATCTCAAGAGGAAAGGAGAGGGACATTTAACAGAAGAACCACCTGGACTGGACTAACGTTTTTCTACAGTATATGTATTTGTTAAGTCAATACCTCAATTAATAAGAAACCTTTATCAACACTCATAGGGCTTTGGTCCTCACCTGTAGTGCAGTCCTGCCAAATTCATTGAGATTATCAGGGTGCACTCTACATTCCTCCAGGATCCTCCGCACCTCGCTCCGGTCTCCTTTGGCTGCCGCCGCCGTCAAAGCTTTACCGTCATCCATCTGATTTAGGACCATTATAGTCTGTCTTTCTGCCTGGTCAACAGGAGATGTACAACAGTTAAAACGAAACCACAACCATGGACTTCTTGTGGAGGTATTAATAAACGTAGAATGGACTGTAAAGAGGTCAGGATTCAGGAAGCTAGACTTTGCTAGCTAGCTACTACAGCATCCGGCTAACGTAAGATTCAGTTCCCCGTTGACGCCATGTTATCCGACTGTACTAGCGTAATGTTACATCAGGTCGTTTCTACAAATCTTTCGTTTAAACAACACGGCTCTGAAAACATGTGTTATAACAGCAGAGACATACAAGTCACGTCCACTATATCTTACAAACAATTAGCAACCAGGCTAACCGCTAACACTAACAACAAGAGAACAAACCAGAGAGCTTTTACGCATACCTTGTTAGGTTCCTTAAGATCCAGAACGCCGAGATGATTTTCTATCCCGCTGTTTTTAAAGACCAGTATTTTTTAAATTAAATCCAAACAAGGAAAGGTTATCAACATTAGAAAATACATTTGCGCGCTGAGATCCACACAGCGGTGTATCAAGACTACAATTTACAAACATTGGAGTGGACATAGGCTGACCAATCATAGCTTGCCTAGAGGGTGTTGCTCTTCCAAATAGGGTAAAAGAGGCGGGATTACAACTCTGTTGCTTCACCATCACTGTGGTAACAGCAGCAGTCGACCAATCAGAGCTCGAAGCGAAGAAAGCGGGCGATTTGTATACGTTGATATCTTCAAAGGCTGTTCATTCACATTTCTGACCTTAGGTTGTATTTCTCCAGAGGCAAGTGTTGAAAAAAGGCGGGTGTACGTTTTTAATTTTAGGCGGAATTTAGTTACTGTGATTGCACAAGGCACGTATAAAATGTGATGACAAAAACTACCCTTATGTGGTTGTAAACTCATGAAACAAATAAAAGGGGCACAACAAAAATACAAAGGCCAGTTGTAAAGATTTGTTTTAAAATGAATCATTTCATTAAGCATTTAAATAATTTGCAGTTGTCCCACAATTGAACACATTAAAATCAAGCTGCACACAGATATCATAAAACAAAATAGCTGACATTAAATTGAGCTGCTGAAATTTAAAAGACTCTTTCAGTCCAGTTAGAGTGATTATTCATGTTCTTCTGGCAGGTTTTACACATTAGTCCTCAGCTGGTAGTCTAAATGAAAAGAGAACAAATGTTAATGTTAAATTAAAGGAGATTGAACTTGTGCACCCATATCACATCATATTTGTATATGTTCTGAAAACAGTAGGTCATTTGATTATAAATAAGAATAATTATACCTCCACTCTGTGTAATGTACCGGACCCATGGTAAAGCCTGATAACCACTTTTTTCAATGATCTTCATATACCGCACCTGTTGAAAGAGAAACCAACATGTTGAGGCAAGAAACATTCAAGTGAATCAGCAATTTCAATTACATCTAGTTTGCTGAGCACACAATATCAGCCCTTCATGACCTGACTTGACTATCCACAGGCTGAAAACTGTAGACGCCCAATACGAATTGATCCTCTCAGGTTGTGCTTACAGCTTTAAAATTGTCCATATTGATATTAAAAACATACATGAGGATCTGATTCATATTCCTGTGTTTTGCTTTTAAATGGACTCGACCTATTCTACCACAGGCTCTATCTCTGGGATCATGTTTGACAATTAAAGGAGACATAGCATAAACACACACAAACCTGTATTCCTGAGACTGTGAAGTAGGGGATTTCAAATTTCACTGTAATGGGAGGCTTCCCTTCTAGCTCATGGTTCTCCACACTTGGCAGACCAAAATGAGCTCTCATTAGAAACTCTTTACCTCCCTGAATGGATAAATGGATGCACACCCAGACAAAATTGATTAGAAAGACACAAAGAAACATGGAAAGAATATTTACATGTAACAAACAGAGTTGTGAATTTCTTACGGGGAAAGACTTGATGGTCCACACCACCATGTTCTTCTCAGGCACGTATTTGGCTGTGCCTGTGCTGGTTTTGAACTTGGGGGAGTCAGCGTCACTGGGGACGGGGACCCTCACCTCCACATTATTTGCCACAGACTGTTTTTTAAATTGTCCCTTTGCCTACAAAAAAAAACAAAGAACTGTTACTGTAAAGCTAATCCAATGCAATGGAAAATGAACTCAACTGAAACAAGTATGAGATAACCTATATTATTAACCAATTATTATTTTTAGTTTACTTGTTTTTAAAAGTATATATCTCCAGTGAAACAATATATTTAAAAGAAAAAAGTTTTATCTTGTTGCTAGTGTAGTTAGACAATAAATGTGGCCAGTACCTTAACCATGATTTCCACTCGACTGTGAGAGAATTTCTCTATGACTGATTCAATCCATATCAGAGGCTTCACCTGTAAGGGGGAAGATTAGAGTTTCATCATACAACTTTACAATCAAAAAAAGTACTAATAATATTAATCAAAATAATATGACATGCATAGCACTATAAGGGTCAATAAGGCTTTCCTAAAAAATATCCAAATTTGGATCAATAAAATAAACCTTATCTTAGATGTACTAATAGACTCATTATTTCTGCTCATGCCCAAAATTATTATAATATTATAATAAGATATTTATTTGTTTCATTAAAAATAGTTTCTTATCCTTTGCAAAATACCATCTAAACCGACATGTATCTACAGGACTTCTGCTTTATAGCTTGTTAGAAATGCAATGTGTGAACCATTATGCGGGACATGTAAGTGACACAAATACATGTATTAATAAACATTTTAACAATAAGCATTTAAGCATAAATACATGGTGGTAATTCTTTTTGTAATTAATTGGACTTACATGGGTATTGATGCGGTAAGACATGAGCTCAGACTCCCCGTCTGGAGGAATGAAGGAGATTGTTCGATCACTATCAAAGCGAGAGAGACGGACACACTGGTGGAACTTTACATCTTCCATCACCACTGTTTTTCCTTTGTCACCTGAACACAAAATAAAACTATCAGTGGAATTACTTTAATGGTCAACAGAGCTACAGATATATCTAGAAGAATAGAGTCAAAGATAATAATGTTATGGCTGTAGACGTACGTCCGGTGAGAGCAAAGAGCACTCGGTCGTTGAGGCCCAGTCGCAGCTCAGGCATCCCAGAGAGCATGGTTTTCAGCTTGATGCTGCCCACGATGTCGCTGCTCATCACACTGCCATTGGCATTCACCTGAACAAACCATAGAGTGGTGAATAAATATAGATACATAAATCATACCAATCCTATTTTAAGTGAGACAATAAAATGTAAAAAGAATGCTCAGAAAAAAACCAAGATATTGTGTCAAAGTAACATTAGTCAACTGCGGCTGTTCTAAATGTGCTAAAAAAGTTTGACTTGAGGTCAAATGAAATAAATATAATTAAAAAAAGAAAATGTATTATGAAAATGGGATTTAATCCAAGCAGATAATAAATAATATAGTTGAATTATACAAGGTTACATCGAAAGTCAAATGAACTTTGTTGTCTTCTTGTACTGTGACATAGAGACACTACAATACCTCCTCTACTATCAATGCTAAGGATGGTGAAGTCAGAGGCAGCAAATATCTGATGTTAAACAGCTAAATCCTTATCATAAAAACGAAAGAAAACACTACATCCTTATCCTGCCCTTGAATATATTTTTACTTTAAAGAAAATCTATGCAGTGTTGGCTCCCACTTTAATTTGTTTTGCATAATAAAAATTTGCCTCACCTCTGTAAAAGTAATACAAGCAAAAATAATACAATTGAACCTTATTGTACCAGAATTATAAGAATGAGCCCTGCATCTTACCAGTACGTTGATGGACTCAATGACATCAATAAAGACCTCGTTCTTCTTGTATTTGATACCCTCTGACCTCCAGGAGACGGCGTTGGTGACGGTGGTCGGCACCTTGGACTTTGCCACCTCGAGCTTGGTACCTTCCTGAGTAATATATCTGCAAGGGAAGCAAAAAAAAAAAAGGTCTTGTGATTAATAACAGCACACTCTTATTCATATAAATATGTTTTATATGTCTATACAGAATGTAAGTATCTTGTGATGTCTCACTCCTGTAGGATCTTGCTGTCGGTAGTCTGAGGGAATCCAAAGTCCATAAGCTCATCCAGCAGCTCGTAGACAACCACAAAATTATCCTGAATGCTCTCCTCCTCCAGCTCTTTGAAGTACTCTGTGAACACCTGAATGATACACATAACACACATCAGCCTCATCAGTGTTGGCTTTGAGTAACTGCCAGCTTTTAGTTTACATTAGCACTCTCTCTAACTGCCCACTTTTACCGGCTCTTCACACAAATAGATAGATAGATAGATAAATAGATAGATAGATAGATAGATAGATGGATGGATGTTTATCATTGCAAATCAGAATGAAAAATATATAGGTTACACAAACATTAAGCAGTAGTGTACGTGTGACTCACCTCGACAATTTTGTATAGAAAGGAGTACACAAGGGAGGCGTTGGAGTTCTTGTTAGTAGTGGCCACCACTGTGCACGATCAGGTCAAGGTGTATTCTACAAATTACTGTTGATCACTGTTATTGCTTACTTCCATACTTTTAAGGATGTAATTCAATACTGACTAGACACAGTTATTATTTAACTATATATAACTAATGGTTGCCAGAAATATTTAGGACAAGGATACGGTAGAGGTTGCTGTGTTTGATCCACATGAAGTGGACGTTGCCGTGTGACAGAACAGGGCAGAGAAGCCCCTCCTCTTCCTGTTGCATGAGTAAAGGCAGGAAGTGGTCGATCTCCGCCATGTTCACATCACCTTTGTAGTTCCGACAAATCAACACCTGAGCAGGAAGAGAATATTGAAATTGTTGAGCAAAATCTTTTTTTATCACAAATCACAGTTTTCATATTATTTACTCAGTGCACTGATTAGGTGATTCTAGGTGTATATAGTAAAATAAGTAAGTCATTTTTTAAATTCCAGCATCTCTTTAGTAACAATGTTCAGTTTCTATTTCTCTAATGTGACGGTAAATTGAGTATGTTTGGGGTTAGTGGAACAGATAAGTGGGACAAACCAAGTTACTTTGTGATATCATCAGAATAAACAATAAGGAAAATGAGCCCGAGATACACCTCATGTGGATTCTTTAGAACTGACGAGGCTAAAACTACATTTTAATAAGATGCTGTTTATATGTTGTACCGGACTGAGATGCATTAAATATAAAACGTATTGCACTGGCCCTAAGGCGTTGATTTACTGATTTAGAACAGTAGACAAAACAAATAGTAATTGGGAATGATATATTTTGTCATCTATCCCTGTAAGTCTGCAGACCATATCTACGTTAAGAACAATGACCTACGATATTTTAACGGAAGGATAGGATCTCTAAGATAAGATGGATGTTCAACCTTTACACCTGCTGAAGATCCAACAATCTCATCCTACTGCAGCTTGCTTGGATTAAATGAAATGTAACATGTGTTTGTTTTACAGAGTAACACACCCTTTGGTCTCACACACAACACCTGAAACCATGTGTGCTCCCATTTCTCAGTTACACTAACTTGTGTGTCATGTTACACTTCCTGTTTGAAGAGAAAGAGATATCTGTGCACTGACAACACAACTATGGTGACACAAATGCTATGACTGAAGGCTACAGGTGCTGCGACACCATTGTTCACATTCACTGAAGTTATTTAAGGTAACAGCCTGCATTTTCTCTGACAGGCATGTATCCGGAAGTAAGCAGAAAGGCCAATGAATGATTGTGTCGCAGACTCTTGATTAATTTTTAACGAAGCATGAGCCATTAATGTTTAACAGTTAAAGCAACAGTTAAACTTCCAGCTGAACAGCTTCATAGTATAAATGAAAGTGCTGTGTTGTAATGTGTGCTGCTGAAAATGAGCAATTGTAAGTGTCTACAATCAACATTAATCTTACCTTCCCCTTCAGATCCAGCACGAATATAGCGGAGGCAGACATCGTGTTTGTAACCAGAGAAGAGCAGCACGACAGTCTAAAAAGCACACAAACTCTGATTAAAGTTCAACTCGGGGTCTTCACTGTGTAAATGTTTGTCTTGCTATCCAGTCTAGAAACATTTATCAGCCTGAGTTGATCGCGACTCCTGGGTTTCTCTTTCCTGAAGGTGCCGTGACGTCATGACATGCAGGTGAAACATTTACCAGCTCACCTGAGCAGAGGGACGGGGGAGGGGGGTGTGCTGCTCCCTTTAACCACTAGAGGGCGCCACATACACAAATAATAGCAGGGGGAAAACCAGGGGAAAACGTGTGTGCTGACCTTATGACCTTTAGAATCATGTTGATTGATGTGTCTGGATGAAGAGGTACTCAGAGTGCAAAAAAAGTACAGCTGTTTAAAACTTAAGTTAATGTAGCCTATATAGGTATGAACATCAACAAATTAAAGTGTAAAAAAAACAACTATTACACAGCAGAACGTTCCAATAATATGGTAAAAGATGCGAAGAAGAATTTACTTTGTGTCAGGTAGATTGATGACAAATTAGCTGTTTCACATACAAACAATTTGTCTTGGTGTTTGATGCAAATATTAAACAAATGAAAAGGAAAATACATACATGCAAAGTAAAAAAAAAACAGAAAAATTACAAAATATGTTAAGACTATCATAACAAAATACTACAACAAGTCAACTGTAAACCATATAACTGTATAATGTTTAATACAACTTTATTTTGAAGTGATACATCTTAATGTTAAAGTATATATTGTGTTTGCAAAGTGCAGTATCACTACTTTGTCCATATCTGAATTCTGAACCCTCAAAGACCTTTTAAAGTATACTAATATGAGAGATTTACAGATGTCCTCAAAACAATATGATACTTTGGTGGCCTTTTCTTAAGGCATCGTTGCCAGTGCATTTGAAGGAAACCCTTTCGCACAGCCAAAACAGAGTAGATTTAATATAAATAGAATGTAATTTGATGTACCTTATCAGGTATATAGTGGGGCTTTGTGAATGCAAATTAAAAAAATTATATATGAAAGTACACACTTCAAATATGTTGGAATACAAAGTTGTATCATGTAAGTCTATAGTAAAAGGGCAGCAACTAAATAGATCCATGGTAGATAACTGATTGATCGTGAGAAAAAACATCTGTCCAACCCCACAGGGGAGGGTCAATCCCCAAGAGTGGAGCTTCTTGCTTGACTGGATCCTGTTCTTGTCACACCACTTCAGACTAGGTAAATAAGACAATCCAAGAAAATAGGAAAAATAAAAAAAGCAGATAGCAATGTTGATCGTTTTTTTCGAGCATTACTTTATAATCGTTTATTCCTTATTTGATAATATATCTCCTTTTTTTGCAAAGACCTAAAACAAATATTGATGTGTGTGTTCTCATGCACAATCTAGCAAATCAATAAAAGTTGCACTTCTTCTGTACCTTTACCTGAGACTGTGGGACCATTCAGCCCTCAGGGTTACTGATGACATGCTCAGCATATTTCTTAAGCCATAAACCTTCCTCTTCAAGATCCACAAGTATTACCAGCTCCCCACCCTCTGCTTTTGGGCCTCTCTCTGTGGTATTATGACCCAGATCCCAGACTTTGTCTATATTCAGTCTGCTTCTTATCAGTCTTGTGTAGGAAGGCAGTGACCTAGAATAACAAAGTGCCCTAACAGAGGCGTGTGAATGTGTGCCTTTGAGGCCTGATGGAAATCAGTCTTTTCCATACCCATGAGCTCCTTTTGTCCATATTGGTTTGGTTCTCCTTATCTGGACTATATTTGTCTAATGAGTCATGATCATATCTGAATAATAAATGAGGTACCAACACCTTAAACAAGTTGTGTTAACACAGGATATGAGCTACAGGAAGACCACTTCATACATATTTATTTAAAGGGTTTTTTGAAACAGACTTGTGTTCATAACCAAACACTTAGTATATGAGAGAAAGGAAATGGCGCCCACAATCTTTCCAGCATTTTGTTTCCATTTCAAATTTAATTAAATATTTCACTTTTAACCCTCCCTCAGTAGCTCATGTGACATGGATTATAGAGGATCTCCCTACAGTGGCTGCGGTCCAACACAGACATAGGAAACACTACAAGGTCAGCCAAGATGGAAAAAAGTGACCTGTATTAACTGCTACAGCTTCACTGAATTGCAAATCTTAGGCCCACTAAACAGGAGGTTCCTTCTACTATTCCATTACTGTAAACATATGACTGCATTAGTATTTTAACACAAATCCCTCTCAGGAAATGGAATTCCGGAAACTAAAGACACAATAATTGCTTAGTGATTGACATCCTAAAATGTACATCAGCAACCAGCAAAATAAATTAAATTATTAAAGTTTATGAAAAGTCACTGGCTATTCTCCTCACTATTTTAATCATTTCAAATCAAACATTAGAAACTCTTCTGAAATTGTCAGAAAATGTCTTGTGTCATGATGAAATAATTATTTATTGCAGACCTTAACTCAAGATTTTCCAATTCCAGAGTCCAACATTTGATGATGATCCATCCACTGTAATTACAACAGGATTATTACATGAAAATGAAGATGAATGCCAAGATAAATATTCTTTCAGAGGGGCAACATCTGTATACTCCTCGTCACAAGGGTGAGCTTAGCTGAGGTGAACTGGGTTTCTTAAAACACAAATATGACATTGAAACCATCATACACCAATATTGTGGTGTCATGGAAAAACAGCATTGAAATACACTCTGTGACCTCCTCTGGTTAGTCGCTCTGTTACAACTTAAGGACTCAACTGGGGTCAGAGCAGCTGAGTTCAGCATGGTCACTCTGAGCAAAAGAGATATCAGTGAGATTTATTGGATGTCAATGCTAGTTTTGGAATTGATACTCGATATCCAACAGAGCGGCTTCTCCTCCTTTCACAGACCATCCTCAGCTTGATATTTTACGAAACAAGTATCACATGCATCCTCCTGCCAATCGAGGGTCTGTGTTTCACCTTGTTAAGCCCCCAGCAGAGACCAAAGAAGCTATTTTGTTACTTTATCATTACATTTGGTAACATAAGGGAATATCTATCCCCATTCAACCCCCCCCCCTCCACATCAGCTTCCGTTGTCAATTTTTGGACACTCCCCTTTGCTTACGAGTTGGTGGTGCGAGATGCAACTCCACCCTTTGGCTGCCAGCTGGCCAATAGGAAGACAGCGAACCTATGTAAATTGTGAGGTGATGAGAGGATTTGGATGACAGCGAGCATAGCTGGGACAGGTTTCATTTGTCACCTGAGCCTCAGGTGTATCTGTCCATTGCCTCCTGGTTACAACCCATGGAGATACTCACGCTAATTAGTTCTGAATAGCAAACTGTCAACCATGATGCTGCAAGTCATGGATACATAAGATGCAATAAGCTCCATTGATGTATGAAATAAGCTTTTTATCTAGAATATCAAACACAATCAAAAGAAAAGTAGATGCACAAAACTCCCAATATCATTTGACCTACATCAGATGTGATGCTGTTGGGCGTGGAGTCATTCACGCTGGAATGTGGATCCCAGTTCCTGAAAGACAACATGCCACAGTTGTGTCCCTGAACAGGGCCGGGCCCTGACGTAAAACCCTGCCCACTCTTTGCGTCACACACCCACACCCACACCCACACACACACCCACACACACACACACACACACACACACACACACACACACACACACACACACACACACACACACACACACACACAATTCAAGGTCCTACTTTTCTTTTTTCTTTTCTTTTTTAACACTAGTCTATACCTATACATTGCTAAAGCATTATGAAGGAACTATGCCTAGCATTGTATTTAAGTTAATTTGGGTCATCATGGTTTGCAGAATAGAGAATTTTTGAAGACAATCGAGAGGTGAAACATTTGCAACACCATGACCTCTGGCAAACAAATCCTGTTCCTCTAGTCTAGTCCCACCAAACAGCTTCTTTTAGTAGCTGTTTGTTAGTGGTTTCACCTTTGCTTTCAGTTAGGAGGGATGTTTCTTGTTGATAAATACCTTCTCAGTTGCTGTCAGAAGAGAAGAGAGGGAGACCATTATTAAACATGAATTATTGAGGAGGTTAAATGGATTAGTGAGAGGATGTATGCTGGTTCTCAGCTTTCATGGCTGCGTCATGCCTCTCTATTCTATTCAGCCCCCTTATGTCTCTCTGTTCACTTGACTGGTTACATTTGACTTCAGTCTTTCATTTATCTTTAGCAAATAAGGAAACATAACCGAAAAAGGGAAACTGATCATGACATCTTCTCCAAACCCAAGGCCAGACCAAAATCAAATAACACCAAGTCATCAGCAAAACATTTTTCCATTTCATATGCAAACAGGTGGTTGTCATCCTGGGTCAAACCTTCACTGTGTGCACATTGATCTCTAATTGAGCCATATACATGCCTCTGTGTCTTGTGAGGAAAGAAGGACAGTGTGAGTATATTAGCTGTCTATATGTGCCCATTTTCTTATATTTGGAAATGATTTAAAAGCAAAGAGACACTATTAATGCCACTAAACGCATTGCCTTCTGTTTAAACAAAACCAACTTGGGTGTAACCAGCATGCAAGGATTCAAATGACATTACACACATTTGTTTATCCTTCCTCAGGATCAGGAACATACAATTCCCCATCATCTAATAACAAATCTGCTCTTAAGCTAAAGGCTGCTGGTGAGACACTTACTGTAAGCACTCACCCCTCTGCATATGTACTGTGGTGCAGATAGGGAGCGATGGCAACGTCTCCAGGCAACATGACGATAAACAGGTTTCATGGACATCCATTGCACCAGGAATAATCAGCTTTGTCAGTGAAGAGCTTTTTAAGACATTCAGTGAGATCAGAGATTGCCTGTTCTAATATAATCTAATCATCAGGCCTGGATAGGATAACACTGTTTTTCTGACATGTCCTAGTTTAGTCATTTTACAACCTTTAAAACCAAAGTTCATTAAAGAGAAAAATATGTTTTAAAGATGTTTTTTTCTTTTATTTAAAAATGAACAAACAAACAAAGCAATGTGAATTGACAAGCAGGCTGTTTGTGCACATCAATATCTGTCCATACCTACATTTGTGCAGACCATTAAACATTGTATTCTGCACAGTATGTGCCTTAATCTCACACTGAAAATGACGTCATAGTAACAGAAAAACAGAAGCAAAATAAATTATGTAAGACTTGTCACTGAAGAACAAACAAACATGTGTAAGGAAAAAGACAGCTTCTTAACATTTCTCTGTAACGTGCAGCACTACGCTGCAGGATTGACTGATTTAAATTAACTTGGTCGAACATACGTTAAATAACATATTTACAATGCAACGGTTGGACTGGCTTAGTTAAACAATACACCAAGGTAGGCTCCAAAATAAAGTATTAAAGTATTTATAGCCAGATGACAACAATCAAAAAAAAAATCTTGCATATTTCCATAAATAAATAAAACAATCTCTTACATGTGTATAACATTTCTTGATTCACATTTACAAATGTAAAAAGGCAACACCAGAGTAAACTTAAGAGAGTTTTACAAAAATATTTACATTATTTATTATTTATATACAGTGTTATTAGACATAACCTTTTTACTCAACTACAGTATCTTCATTTAAAATAGAAAACTTTCTTCACTTTGGTTGACTTCAAAAAACTCAGCAGCTTTTTCACTTACAATGTAAACTATCTATAACTCCCTCACATTCAGCTACCTTGTTGAAGAGGGGTCATAAGAGGAAAAAAAACACAACAGTCCTGATTTAAATTGAACTTCCATTTGAGACACGATGGATGCTCAAGAAAAATGCCTCTGATATAGGAGCCAACTAAATGTGCAACACTGTACACAGGAGGAAAGGCTACGGTGCTAAACACTTCAGCATTAAGGCATTAATTAAAGCAGAAACTAGTTTGGAGAGTATTCTGGTCTTTAAGGCATTTATATACATTCAATACACTTTTCTAGATTACTAGAGTACAGATGGAAGGCACATATGAGTGTTAAAAGAGTAGGGGTCTAGTTTTCAAGTTAAACTTGCAGAATGTGTGACTTGTGTCATCGGTATATTAAATAAAGTGAGGCAATGTGCTGGTGGCAAAGTAAGACTTTTTCAGCTTCAAAAGAGTCATGGCTCTGGGAATAAGAACATGAAAGAATGCATTAGTCTTTCATTTTTTAAACCATGTTGTGGTCTGACTTAATGTTTTCCTGGAGTCCTGCTCTATTTTTGTCATAATGATGTTTCAAAGAGAGTTAATTTTTTCCTTTCTTCAGACTTGGACGGCACAGTGCTGAGATCAGAGACAGAGGCAACAACATGAGCTCACTTGGAGGGGGGAAAGCAAAGGCTGCTAAGAAGAAGCAGCAGCAGCAGAAAATAATGGCCTTTTGTTGCTTCATGTTAGCAACAGAAAAAATGACATAAAAAAAAGCAATTGTCTTCTTTATCTTTGGGTCAAGCAACATCCACGTCCTCCATTCTCAACATTTGCCTCTGCAGAAAAAGTAAAAACATTGAATAAGTACAGCTGTATAATAATACACTTACAGTTTATTTTAGAGACTATTATATAAACAATAAAGTGATCTAGCATCAAAGTGAACATACCGCAGGATAAACGTAACCTTCAGAGCTGTTCGAGCAGATGTGTAGCTCATCCTCAGTGGTTTTCTGGTACACTGGATTATCAAAGTGGATGATGTTGGTGTTCTTCAGACGCCAGTTTCTCCAGAGAAAAACTGCTCCAAAGAACAGCAGAGACATAACGACTGCAGAGCAAAAGAGGAGTGGAAGGTCACGTCAACGAGTTCAGGGGAAATAATACGAGTGCAGAGAAAACCGCACTTTGGATTTGCATGTGTGTGTGAGCCATCAAGAGCTGAAATGTGGAACTTACGTATTGGCAACACGACGTAGAGAGCCATAGGATGGGAGGAAGTGGCTTCTTCAGGGGAGGCTACCAATCTGTTACCTGAAATAGCAGATAAGCACACAATCTCTGTAAAGTTACGACTTAAAACAATTTAGATATTGTGTGTTAATTTGTGCGTCTTAGGGATGCTGATTTTGAAGGTTTTAAACAGAGCGATGGCCCCTGTTTCCTGTTTTTAATGCTAAGCTAAGTCAATTGGTTGATGGATATGCCTAATATTTACTGAAGGCCTATATGAGAGTAGTATACTGTATGTTACCTGGCTACAAACAACCTTCAAATAAGACTACAGTCATGCTTTTTGAGGCTGAAATGGCAAGAATTCTTAATTTTGGATCCTAACACTTTCTAAACGCTAACAAACGACCTACAGAATACATTATTCGTCCCAAATCCACTTTAAACCCAGGTTCCCTTTTATACCTTCGTATAGCGTCTCCTTTACTATGTTGCAATAGAATAAGGAAAATGAAGCACTTGGATGTGAGTTTCTAGACTGTTGCAGTTATCACTTCAACAAACATTGCATTTTTTCAGCAGTTATCCAGAATCCCTTCCTGTACCTTGAGCAGTAGCAACATGCTCCTGTGTGGGCTGGTTAGATGAGATAGTTGTGTGTTTTTGGGTAGGTCTGGTGGTAGTTGTAGCAGTGGTAGGAACAGTTCGCCTGGGAGGAGCAGGTTTGGTTGGAGCTTTGGGCGGGAGCGGTGCAGCAGGTTTTTTATCTGTAGGAGGTGCAACTGGGGATACTGAGAAAGTAAATCAAAGGGTTACTGTAATGATTCCACATTCAAATTCACTTTATTTAAACTGCCATGTGTAGGGGACACCTACCTGTCACACATTTTCTCATGTCAGGTGCCATGGTCATGTTGTCAGGACAGGCGCAGGTGTATTTCGGTGAGCGCTGGTTGATCAGAGGAGCAGGGAGGCACAGAAACTCGCATCCTCCGTTTATACTGTTACTCTCGTTGCACCAGTTTTTGCCTAAAAGTGGGTACCAGAAGCATTAAAAATCACAATATGGCCATAACATTGTGTTTGTTACGTCATCTCTCAGATTCAGTGGTGTTTCTGTACCTTGAGGCTGCCTGAGGCTGTGGTACAGAACGATGTCCTCCGGCTGATCAAGGTCTTTTGCCAGCAGAGTGATGTCACTTCCTGTCAGGCGGTTGGCACTGTAAACTGCACCGTTGGCCATGTCTGTCCAATACACTTTCTCCTATTTAAAAGATAAATGACATTTGAGTAAACAGTTTAACAATATTCCCATTTTAAATGATTACAAATGCATAATAATAACAAAGACTGATTAAGAATTAGCAATACTGATCCAGATCAAGAGGAAGTTAAGGGCACTGAGCTCTGGCTTTGTATTTCCAAACCGTTTCAGCTGGATAACGCTCACCATGCATGGACTTGATTACTCATTTACTGATTTGATGTATGGGAATAACTAAATTGGTCATTTGTGTATGAAGTTTATGAACCACGGAGGCACATTTTTTAAAACATTTTTTATTTTAAGTTAAGGATTGAATTAATACGATGGCTATCAAGGAAAGAATGATTGACACGCTTGGATCAATATGTCAAATCAATCATTAATCATCCAACAATAATGATGCAAAGAAAAAACTTGGATTCATATAGTCATCTTTAAGATACGCTTCTATATTGACATTTGCAAATCCTATTTTAGATGCTTTTTGTGAGTGTGACTGCATGACTGACCTCAAAGACTGTCAGAGACATGGGGTGGGGGAGCGTTTCCTCGCTGTAAATAAGAGTGCGTCGCGTCCCTCCATTTACATCGATGCTGGACAAAGTGTGCATCTTGGAGTCGACCCAGTACAGACGCTGGTTGACTATGTCTGTCCAGAGAGAAACACAATAAGACGTTTTATAGATATTTGTTTGATTTAGAAGTTATTGGTTTTCATTTAGTGCATTTATGACACTCTGCTTACCCAGGGTGATGCCATTGGGCCACATGATGTTATCTGTTACTAAGGCAACGCGATCCGCTCCATTCAACCCACTCTTCTCTATCTTGGCCACGTCTCCCCAGTCTGTCCAGTACATGAAGCTAAAGAGAACACAAACAAAATAATTAAAACTAATTACAAAAAAATCCAAAACATACATTTATTCCAGCAAATCAAGTACATGAAGGAAGATCAAACAGACGGTCATTACTAGAAATAGGAGGTAGTGGTTTTATATGGCCCAACACAATCAAATAAATCTTGTTAAAAGTGTGATAAATGTATTGGCATCCCCTTTTTGAATCATTATTATCATTTTTTGTAACACCTCTGTTACACAATTACACTTCATTCTGCAAGCCGTTGAGATTTTCTTATGTAGCTATTTCTTTTTTGTCAGATTAAATAGACCATAAAGACAGAGCTGGATATAATAGAACAAATAAGGGCAAAATAATGGTATGGGTTTGTGAAACTGAATCGAAAAGGGATTTCACAAGTCTTTCCCCCCACCTGTAACCCAAAACTGTCACTTACTTATTTACAGGGTCGACTGTGATGGCTCTTGGTTTTTGGAGGTTATTTGTGATCAGGGTCTTCCTCTTGCTGCCGTCCATCGTTGCCACAGAGATAGTCGTCAAAACACTGTCAGTCCAGTAGATGTTACCATGGATCCAATCCACCGCAATGCCATCTGGGGCCTCAATCTCATTGCCAATGACTACGGTGTGGTGAGAGGAGTTACCGGCCACATCTAAGCTGGAGCTGTTGGGAAAGAGAAAAGGTTTACTTAAGAGACAGATATCGCTTACAAATCAAACGTAGTATAGAGTTATGGATGAATTATACTGGAGAACAAGCCTAATGATAAGAACATAAGTCACCAGAGTCCTCCCCTCTAATGAACCACAGAGACACAGAAACAGATCCTTAAAGTTGTTCCTAACCTGTAGATCTTCTTTAGAGACATGTCTGACCAGAAGATTGTTTTGTTTGGCATGTCTATGTCCAGAGCTACTGCGTTCTTCAGCTGGGGAATAAGACGGACGTACTCTCTGTGGTCCACCGTGATCTTCCTCACCTCGTGTCTATTGGTGAAGTAGAGGGTTGGCACATTGCCTGGAGGACACAGAGGAGGAAAGATGAAAACATGTTTTAGCACTAGAGATGTAAAGGTCATTTTTAAGAAAAAACAGCTACTTTTGACTTTTTTTTCTTTCTTTTAAACATTACCTGTTTCGGCCCTACATGTCTTGCTCGCAGGGTCGATCTCATAGCCCTTTTGGCAATCACACTTGTAGCTGCCGGGCAGGTTGATGCATTTCTGACTGCAGGTGTCGGGCTCGGCACATTCATCAATGTCTGCAGGCAGAGGGACAGAAGGTCAAATGGCAAATTGAGATATAGAAGTATAGCATAATGCACTGTACACCTTGAAAAACAGAAACATTTGAATCATCAAACTTCCTTCTCTCACCTTCACAGGTTTTCTTGTCCATCATCAGTCTGTATCCGGCACGGCAGGAGCAGTTGTAGCCAATCTTAAGGTCCGTACAGTAATGTGAGCATCCACCATTTGCAGTCAAACATTCGTTAATGCCTGTGGAAATGCAGATATACAGAGCTCACACAAAATTCATGACAACCATTTTCCTAATGGTAGCTCAAGTAGACGGTGAACTAACTAATTGAAACCACAAACTATCTAGGCCACTCAGCCGGCGCTACTTGGCTAGCTGCTCCAATCATATTTTCCAGGCCGTGATGTAGATTCCCTTTTTTCAAATGTTTATACTACCATCAATGGAGCTTAAGTGTATACCCAACATTCCTTTTTTTTAGGACACTTCTTTGTGTGATGATCAATAACTGTTGGTTGGATGGTAAAATAGGATTTCTCTTACCACACTGAACACTTTCATCGGATGAGTCACTGCAGTCTTTCTGTGTGTTGCACACTCTGTCCATGCTGATACACTCCCTGCTGTCACACTTGAACTTTTCGGGGCCTTCACATACATTTTCTGTGGACAAGAACATGAGTGTCAATTGAAAGGCTCAAAATGTAACGACCTTTCCATGGATCTTAAGTATGAAAGTGTTAGCATCTGGACAAAGTGAGTGGGTAGGACAGTCACCTGTGGGGCAGTCCTTCTCATCACTGAGGTCGCTGCAGTCGGGATGTTTGTCGCATTGGCGGCTGCCATGGATACAGGTACCGTCACTACACTGAAACTCATCTTGGCGACAAGTGGGACGAGCTAGAAAAAGAAGACAAATGAATGAAAACAAGAAAATTAGACAGAGGAATAAGACATAGAGAAATGAGAAGGAGAAATAGATGACTCAGAATGAGTAGTAGAAATCCTCGCTGACGTATCATGAACGGACCAAGCAAAATAGGCTGAATCTGTCAAACACTGTTTTCTATCTAATTGAAAGATATCAGAGAAGATTTATCAGAGGAAACAGATTTGCAGAGGGGTAGATGGCGCAAAAAATGCACTCACTGCAGTTGACCTCGTCTGATCGATCCTGGCAGTCATCTGCTATGTCACACCTCCAGCTGCTGTGGATACAATCCCCATTAGCACACTGGAACTCGTGAAGGCCACAGTGCACGGCTGGCTTCTTTGTGTGCTGTCCCACACAGTTCTGCGGCCACTCGTCCGACCCGTCTGCACAGTCCTTGTCTCCATCGCAGCGCCAGAAGCTGGGCACACACACTGAGTTGTTGCACTGGAAGGACTGGGTGCTGCAGGTGGGTTTGGGGCAGGAAGCCTCATCTGAGCCGTCTGAACAGTCGTCGTCTTTGTCACAAACGAAAGTGCTGGATACACACTGGCCGTTGGCACATTGAAACTCATTGGCGCTGCATTGTTTGGCCGCTGTGGAGAGGGGAGAGAAGAGACGTGTGAAAATTACACAAAAAACAAACCAAAAATGTAGTTATCTATTGTTATAATAACCTCATATTTGTTTCTAATACATCATTAAAATATTCTTGTTTTGTTTGTTAGTATGTTTCTTTTGCTGTAAAGTTAAATAAATAGTATTGGTTTCAGTTAACGTCCCACACACATTTTGTTTTCCATTCCATTCTTTAAAATGCAATTTGATTTAATATATACCGTATATTAATATATTATTTGTCTCAAACAAATGTTGTAGTTTCTATTTAGATATGGTTTATAAATAACTTTATTGTATAGTAAAAGCTCATAATGAATATGGTATATTCTTTTTGTTTGAAGGTTACAAAATCCTGACTCTTTTTATCAGTTATATTGGTATTGTTTTAAGTGTTTAAGTATGTTGTAAAAAACTATGAAATAATTATACATAAAACTTACAGCAGTTTTTCTCGTCAGCTCCGTTTTGACATTCAGCTCGGCCGTCACAGTGCCAGGACAGCGGGATACACTGGTTCGTGACACCGCCGCAGTTGAACTCTGTCTGCTGACATGTTTTGGTTGCTGCGGATAGAAACAGGAAGTATGACTGAAATGTTCTCATGTGTAAACAAATAGATAAGGCCTGTGACTGCAGCTAGAGCATATTGTAAAACTGAACAACCCTGAAGATTAATGAAACTATTGTTGCATACATTGGTTTTATTGTTGTGTTACTGCCTCATAAAATTGTATGTAATGAGCAGGTCAAGATAATGGTTCTTTGTTTGTTTTCTTTGATATATATTGAGTAGTGTAACAATTTGTTAATTTATCTGTTAGTGAATTCAGAGAAAATAAAATCAATAAACTATTCAGAATTTTTTTTTAAGTTGTAAAGCATTTTCACTGCCTTAAACAAATACTATATTACTTTTTACTATCTCTTCTATGCAACAATTGATTGATAAAAATAATTGGCAGACTAATGGATAGCGAAAATAATCCCAGTGGCTTTGGCTTTCACATGTATTTAACTTCACGTTACACGTCCTTCAGATTAAATATCTTACCGCAGGTTGCCGGCAGTTCATCAGTTCCATCACCACAGTCGTCATGTCCATCACATATCCACCTGTTGGTGATGCACCTCCCATTCCCACACTCAAGCCTATCGGAGCTGCATTTAAAGGCTGCATCTGTGAGAGATAGAAAAAAAGAATTAAAAACTACATTTATACTTTGCGGCTGGTGAGCACCTTGTAAGAATGTGAGATTGTGTCAACACAAAGGAAACTGGTTTCATTGTGAGGTTAATATTTAACTGAAAATTACACACACTAATAAAAGTGAATGAACTTGAAGGCCACAGATGTTCAGATAACTGGGAAACCACACCTTGTCCTCTTTGTTAGAGTCAACAATCAAGATAACAACAGTTGGTTCTTTGTCTCATGTTAGAAAAAGATATGGCATAGTATTTGGGCATACTAAGTCCATTTCAGGAACACAAAACGAGTATACTAGTAGTCATATTTTGTGTATTCTTTTGTGATGACACAGACACATGTCCCCAAACATCTATGAAGCATCCGTCAATTTCACTTTACTTTTGGACAATCATTCAAAAAAGTTTTAAACGGAAGACAAACAAAGTTCAAATAGACACAGACTTGAAAACATTCATATGATATACAGGAAAGTGTTTCAACTGACAGTGAAACTTTGTCACTAATATTCACTAGCCAACACTTACTATATGTTATTTCTTGTTATACTTCTTGATAACTTGATGTACTTTATCTGCATTTTGGGCCTAGCCACCATTAAAGGTAATGCAATGAATTACACATGTATCCCTACCACACACCTCTGTTCCTTGTTTCTTTGACAAAGTTTGACACCGTTCAGGTATGGTACAAGGCTAAAGCTCCTCTTTTTGTCATATAGATGGTATGATCTTAGATTGACCCCGGGGTAACTATAGCTAAGAGGTCTTGCCCCAAGAGGATCACCACTGAATGAACCACCAGTCGAAGCAAAGAAGGCATCAACATGAAGTCATATGTGAAACAACAAAGGCCCTTCATACTCCAGTGAGTGTCATCCTCAGTCACCTCTGCTCTGCCAGTCTCTCCTGTGACCTGGAGGCTGGGCGCATGACAGACTACCTCTTTAAGACAATGGCGTAGGAGGAGTTTAACAATCACACCACCAGTTGCTGATTGGTCCCAGAGGGACATTTCTTATAACAGCATTATCACGGTGACCGACAGATTGAGGCGGAGATACAAAACAACAGGAAGTGTGTCAATTTGATTGTGTGGTTGAGTGACAGTTGAAAATGTGACAGTACAGGTCTGACTCGTAACATTATTGTGGTAATTCAGGAAATTGTCAAATAAAGAGAGAATGCTTTCTCAATGCTGGGCTTGTCTACCTCCTTTAAAAACTCAAATGAAAGCTTGACTGCATTTTGTTAATCTTGGAAACTACATGTCTAACTCGTTTCACTGATTCAAGGAAAAGCTTGTAATGATCTATAGAGGCTGTTCCTGTGCATGTACATTCACACTTCAAGGAAACCACAAACACACACAATCGCTCACACACATGGTTGGCCAGGCATTCAACCAGTGTAGATTATCCACCAAACCTCGAAGTTCTGCTCTTTGATGGTGGGGACTATGCAGCCTGTATTTTCATTTTCCACTGTATAGCCCTGCAACTTCAACATATGGGCCACTAACTGTTTTAAATCCCCATTACTGTATAAACTCAAAATGTTACTTTTTAATGACTAATTATGCATTCTTTCTTTTCTTTTTTGGTCAACCTATGCCATAAGTGTATTTCCTCTCAAATCCTAAAAGTTCAGGTATACTCAAAATGCCTTGTCTGAAAACTGCTTGCAAGGCACTTTAATTTCAGCTAAACAGACCTGTTTGAACAGTATGACAAGCTATTCAAAACCTATTCATTACATTACATTACTTGTTAGACGCTTTTATCCAAAGTGTCTAACATACTCAATACTGTGGACAATCCCCACAGGAGCAATTTGGGGTGAAGTGTCTTGCCCAGGGACACAACGACATGCTTTGAACCTGTGCGCCCCTGATCCGAACACCAACACACGATTCCACTGCTCCACACGCCTCAAGTACCATCTTACTGAATCACCTACGATT